CTAGCCAGCAGACAGCCCCTGCACTGTAGCACCCTCAGGCCCCAGCCAGCTGGCGCAGAATCTGCATGTGCACTGCTGTGGTGTTTTTTACTCTGCAGCAGGATAGAACTTGTACTTTTGTGTTTAAAAGTACTATCCTGCTGCAGAGTAAATTAGTTTACTCCAGCCTAATAGGGGCGCACATGTAGACACCAAGATGCTTACTTTGCAGCTAATTAGTCAACTGCACAGTAAATGTCTCCTGTAGACATACCCCCTGGGAAGGAATGTTTGTTGGAGATGGGGGATTCTAATCCTGGATGTAGCTGAATCAGTGTGGGCAGATCACTTCAGATTTCACTGTGAAATGGGTTTAAGATCTGACCTACCTTATTAGCAGATCATGAACTTTAATTCACTTATGTTTCTCTGGGAAGGAAACTCATCCAAAGTACATTGAATTTCTTCCAATTGAATTGTCATAGACATCAGTGGTTTTGGATCAGGCCTCATAATCATCTGTACAGTCAGTTGTAAAGGTTGCTCCAGCATAATTTAGTATTCTTAAAAGTAGCATTTGTACTGAGAAAGTAAGTGTTGCTGTTTTTCCTCTGCACTAAAATGTTGGAAGTTTTAATTATTTTTTTGCAGATGTTACCCTAGTTTGGCAAAAGCAAAATGTCACCATCATTTACTGGAAACTTAGTCATTCAGTCTCTCTGCCCACCCTCCACATAACCCATTCCTTCTACACTCATCATAGAACCACAAGTTCATGACAAGCATCATCTGCTTGCTGCACACATACATGAGAAAGCTTTGGCTACCAAAACATGCTCACTGACATGAAGTCATTCATTATGTACAGAGTGGAGAGCTCCAGCAGGATCTCTCTTCATCTTTGTTCCCAACAGGCAATAATGCTACACTTTGCATCCTTCCTTACCTCCAAGGCTGTGTCCAGACATGCAGGGGTGTGTGGTTTGTTGTACGGCAAACCTCTTTGTGTTGCCACAAATGGAGCACATTTAAACATGCCCTGCACTGCAGTTTTGCAGCGCAGGGCCAAAATTTGCTACTGGGATTTCCTGGTAGCAAAAAAAATTAATGGACCAAAAAGCAGTGCAACGTACACACAACAAGCATGCACTGGCACACACAGAGACCAGGCAATGCTCTGGCTGCCTGACAGACCTCTGTGCTGCCTCATCTGTGCCCCTGCTGCTCCAGGCCACCAGGTAAGATTGCTGGGGTCAGCACCAGTGCTGGCCCCAACCTCCTGCTCTCCCTGGTTGAAGAGCCAGGAGGAGCTGGGCAAGGGCAGCTTGCCTGTTGCAGGACAATTTGTCCCACAACAAAGCACATGTGCAGGGCACATGCTGTGACAATTGTGCACTGCGCACACTCCTGCATGTCTGGATGCAGCCCAAGACTACAGGTATATTTGTTATCTTTTCTGTCCTACACTGACTTCCTTAAATTAAAGGCCATACAGTAGAAAGCCTGCTTTTGCAAAATATCTGGACCTTGTTTTGATGTCATTCATTTTTGTAGCAGATAAATTTAATGGTTATTTTAAATTTAGAGATGGTTTAATCTTTTGTATTCCATTAGGAGCAAACATTTAAAATGCATTTTTGACAATCCTTACTCTTTATTATTTCCTTATCTGTCATCAACAGGATGTGTTAATATTTCTTGTTTGTTTTGTTTTTTGTGCCAAAACAGAGCATGAGAATGATGGCTTGTTTTCAACATTATGAGATTCCCTTGTCAGTCATGCAGCAATTTCTTATTTCTGTGCAGCTGTGGTGGTTAAATTAATTTATTTTCTACCAGGGAAGGGGATAAACTGGAGTGTCTGAAAATGTGAATTGTGCTGAAATTTTCCTCAGGTAGGAAAGTAATTTGTCCTCCTTCAGCGCATAGTATCACCATTCATATAATGAGACAGATATGAATTTCACCTGTGGTGCCCATACAGGTACAAATAGGAATCACTTTGGAGTTACACTGGTGTAACAGAGATCATAAGCCTAAAGAAAGGGTCATATCACACCACAGGAGACAGGTCTGCAGGTGGAATTGCCCTTTGATTCTCACCTACGGTTAAACGCTGGACTGGCACTCCTGTGAAATAAAATTTTCATGTAAATCAGTTGATCTGTGAATCTGCTTTCAGGCTAACTTGAGTATTATCTTCAACTGCCTCCAGAGCCAAAAGACTTTTCAAAGGTGGTGATACAGATGCTGCATGACACTGCAGTAAAGATTCAGAGCTTGTTGTCAGGAAGCTTTCAAAAGGCAGCATGGGCTAGTGAGTAAAGCAATGGATTTGGATCAAGGAAATGTGGGTTTTGTTACTGGCTTTACCCTGGCATGCTGTGTAACCTGGGGCAGTTTGATTCACTTCTTTGTCCTTCAGTTTCCCCACCTGCAAAATGGGCCCGGTTAGTGGTTTTCAGACTGGAGTACACAGAGCTTTGCCAAGGGGTAGATGTCTGATTATTAGCAATGATGGTAGAACTTCTGATTGGTCAACATGAGGTGAGTAATGGCATTGCTGTGCACTGACGTAGGTATCAACACTTCCTCAGCAATGAATGTGCAGAGGTGCATTAGGTGTAGGAAGTACGAGTAGCAATATTTTGCAGGTAAAGGGGTCTACAGCCAAAGCAGTTTGAAGACCATTGCAGTGGGTCGTGTCATCATAATCTATATGTTAGTATTTGCAGTTCAATGGTACCAGACCATGTTTATCACAAAGAATCCTAACAAACTTGTGCTGCAGTTAAAAGATCACCTTTAATTAAAGGCTGTAAAAGTATCTTTAGCACAAACATTTAGGTCTCATAAGGCATATCTATGCATGCCAATTTAAGGCACATTAGCCATTTTTAAGGCACATTAAGGGCATGGGTCTACACGTGCACCCTTAATGCACCTTAAAAATGGCAATTTTAGGCTATTTGCGCCTAAATTTGATACCTGCTTAAAACTAAAGCACCTTAACACATGTGTAGACACACTAAGGTGCATTAACGCTGTGTATGTCAACCATGAATGCCGTGTGCCCCTGGAGGCTGGGGGGGCATGGTGAGCTCCCACAGGCGGCGGTGTCAGCGTCAGGGGCATGGCAGCAGCAAGTGGGGAGCTCCCACAGGCAGCTGCAGTGCTGTCAGTGGTTGGCGGGGGTGGTGAGCACTGACCAGCGGTCAGCGACCACCCACAGACACCGCCAGCAGAGTCAGTGGCGGCCAGTGGTCATTGGGGACCACCCACAAATGCTGGTGGTGGTGTTGTGGGGAGAGGAGTGGTGAACAGCAACCGGCAGTGTTGGTGGCCCTTTTTGCTGGGGTGCACTGCCAATCTCAGGGGGTGCACATGCACCCACTACGCGTCGCCAATGATGTTGACAGTCCACACACCGCATTAATGCGTCTTAGTGCATGCTTATGCAGCCACATGCCTAAATTGCCTTAACGCGCATGTAAAAGCACATGTAGACATGCCTCTAGTTTCATAAATTGAAACCTTTACTTAACCTCAGAGTCTAGTGCTTTTGTTGAGGGGAATTATCTTATGCATCCAGGATGGTCAGCTGGGATGTGAAGAGGAGCAAGCAGAGCACAGGATGAGAGAAAAACAACACACTCCTATGAATTTGTTCACTTCACCCCAAAAGTAATTGTGGAAATGCAACCATCCAGGTTACAGCTTGGGACGTTTATCCTTTCCCTCGCTGACTGGTAAGAGGGAGTAAGGAGTATGTGGTTCCCTTGATTGTCTACCTTTCTAAGGAGGAAACCAGACCCACCACCACAAAGGCATCCAAGAGTCTACCAACTCTAGCCAATATTATAGAAAAAGTCAGCTGTAGCTCTCCTTCCTATCGCATGTAAACTGCTACTTCCCATCTTTGCAGAATTAAAATGGTGTCTGGGACACTTATATTTGGCTGAAGCTGAATTTCAGCAAAGTAGAAATAAAGTTGGAAGGAGAAGGGGAATGCTTAATAGAATTTGTTTCCTTCATCCCATCCTGTTAATCAAACAGCTACTACCTGCAAAAATACATCCATTGTCAACTGAAGCTAACAAGAAATTTCTGTTTAGCTGTATTGTGGAGGGGTATGGCCACAGTGAATAAATTTGTGACCTCTGCCCTATCTGCCTCATCATATTTCACAACAGAACCTAACTCTGAAAATCAAGTGGTCTTAGCAGTACAAGTCACTGTGGGCACAGAAAGAAGAGCAGCTCCCTGCTGTAACTCATAACACTTTGCAGGAAGTGTTCTGAATTACAGCGATCCCCTAAACCAAACAGAAGTTCACTTTTGGTTCCTGGGGGGATGCAGGGTTGGGGGATCCAGATGCTGGCTGAGAGCCTGCAGCTGGTTTTCCCTAGCAATGATTCCTCCTCCCTCCCAGTTCAGGCACTGTTTTCAGAATGGGAAGGGGGAAAAGGAGCAGAGAAGCTCATTGTAGGAGTTCCCCAGCTGGTGCTGGAGGGTGGGGTGGGTGGATTGGAGACCCTCACCATCTCAGAGAGGCTGCAGTCCATCCACCCGACCCCCAATGCTGGCTGAAAAAAACGCATACCAAACTTCCTCCACTCTTCCCCCCCCTCCCATTCTGAAAACAGCTCAGAGGCTTGGAGGCTGCACAGACAAGTTACAGAAGACACTGTGTTTTGAAACTTCTTCATCTGAACCCTCGTGCAACAAGGGTTCAGATTTTTGCTGGATTGGGCCTTTTTAAAGTATTTTGCAGCTGCACACTTCTATTTGGTCACGGCTGTAGAGTACTTTCAGGGACCAGATTGGGCAAAAATTGTCACTCCTGTCTGTGCATTTTGGGTTCAGCAGCCTACTGCTGCTTTGTTTGCACTCATTCCCTAAAGAATGAAATGTTCAGCCTAAGGTATCTTTGATATTCAAAGCCTTCAGAGGGATTTAAAGCCTTAGCTATGTGGGAAATCATCCCTCCCTCTGAGTGTGACCTCAGATGACAGTGATGTTCCACCAGAATTATGAAACTGCTACCCAAGCAGGGGAAGCTAGAGATGAAAACTTCTCAGCTGTTCAGCCTCACCAGGCTACAGAAATCATTGCTAGATGTAATGAGAATGATTATAGAGCATACAGCATACAAAGCTAAGTCATAAACACCTGCTTTTCAATTTTTTCTCTTAATATACACATACATGTAGTGTGTCTCTGCACTAACTTGCCAAGGTTTTAACCCTCTCAGACCAAGAAGGAACTAAAAACTTGTTTTGTTACTTTAATACTACTGTGGTGGGTTTAGGTAGCTAATACACAGCAACTTTTATTAGTAGATTACCGAGAACCTTATAATATGAGCTCAGTATTAATATTCCCTATATTACCCGTGGGGAAACAGGCGCAAAGAGGGTAAGTGATTAGTACAAATTAACCAACAGGTCAGTGGCAAGTAGGAATACAACCCAGATCTTCAAGTCAGGACTGAGGAGCATACATTAGAATTCATGTGAGAATTAGTATCTCTCATTTAGTTGCTGATGCTTCAAGCTTTTCATGTCCGGCTACTTGTGGACATCTCCAAAATGCCCATCATCCACCCCACCCCCCGTAATATTATTTGGATAATCATAGTGCTGAGAGTTAGGAGGCGTTGATGGGAGCTTGTTTTCATGCAGCACCACAAGCTGTAACAAACAATGGCCTCTGATTATTGCTGGTTAGTGTGACAGGATTTACAAAATTAACTTGCCAGCTGAAAAAAATAAAACATATTGCCATGGTCTTTCATTTGGGTCTGGTGCTTCTCAGAGCGATAGGGAATGCCAAGAAATTAGTTTTTCTGTGGCTGCATGTCACTTGGAGGTGTATCACCTCAAGGAGCAAGTACTTCCAAGAATGAGGACAAGCTACGTAGTGTACCCTTATCTGAGCTAGGAGCTGTCAAGGGTAGCAGACCCTCATCCCCAAGTTGAGCTGTCCTGAAGGGACGCTTGTGACTATGGTCATTTTTATTTACTGTTCCCTATATGCTTGTGTATAAGTGGAAGCATTTCTGGATAAACAACACAGCAGGTTTAGATGGATTTGCTCATACTTAGCTGATTTTGGTAATAGCTCTTTCCAGAAAAACCTGCAGCTCCTTGTCTTGCTCCTTCCTAACTGGGGGGATAATTTCATTTTGCAGCTACGGAGCTTTGGCTAGTATGACAGGGCTCAGGGCAGTTCTACAGCCCTCAACTCTCAAGGTGCATTGGCTTTTTCAGTGTAAGGCAGTGTTTCCTAGTGTTTCCATTTTCATCTCCCAGTTGTGCTTTATAATTCTTACCTGAGTCTGTTCCATCAAATGCAAGCAGGAACACTGAAGAAGTCTTAGACTGCATCAGTCTGTGATCATCACTGGTGCGTATCTTCCCAGATCTTACCTGCTGCTATTCTGACTGGTGACCAAGGGCAGAGAATAACTCAGTCTATGTTGCCATTGAGCAGGGGGTTGAAGTAGCTGGCCTCCTGAAGTCCCTTCCAACCCCACTGTTCTATGAGCACTCTTCCCCCAACTAATAGAGCATAGACTAAGGAAAAGGAAAGGTATTTTTGTGCTTTTGCCCAAGTGTATGTAACCAAGATTTGGCAAGAAATAAAAGGTTGTAATGTCATTACTAGTTAATGCAGGTAAGTAGCTTGCAGTTTTGAAATCAATGAATTCATAGCTGGTCAGTTTTTTAAACTTGCTGGGTAATTTTAAATTGTAGCAGCACTTGGCATGTATTGCTGGCATAATTTGTGTTTGCTGTGTTATGGCAATGATTTCAGAAGGACCATTGACTTCCATTTGAGAGTGTCGCATGCTGGCTGTTGCTTTTTCACATGTTCTCTCTCTCTCGCTCGCTGTTTCTGGCTCTGATGATGCCCTCTGCTTCTTTTGGCTCCTAACTTGGATGCATCTGGCCTGTGAGTGTGTGCACTTTGCCATAAAGCAAAATATAGAGCAGTTTGCATCCTGATGGGTCATTGAGGGGGTCACTGCATTGTGTAGAAGAGGGACAGCTGTTCCTTAAAGTGTAATCATGGGTGTGTGGGAGCAGGGGAGGTTCAAAGGTTTTCCTTATTGTGATTTTATTTGAATTGTTCTTTTGTCATTTGTTTCCATGACTAGCCCTATAGGGGGTTCTGTGCTTTTAATTGGTTGCTTTTAACTGGTTGGGGGGGTTACATCTTAAATTTTTTTTATACAGCTTAATAAAAATAAAAGTCTCTCTTCTCCTCCTGCTTCTGCCCTGGGCACGTGAACATGCAAATGGGAAATAGTACCTTGGCTACATATGAGCATGTCTGCATCCGCTTGTTATCTCTTGCAGTCTATCATGGCTAGGGCTCCTCCTTTTTTCATCTTCACAGCCACAGGTGCAATTGGTCCTGGTCCATGACAGGATCTTCTAGGTATTACTAGAATACAGGTACTGAGAAATAACAAATGTGGATGAGAGTACACAAGCACATTTGCAGTTGTACACATGTACCAATGGAATCTCCTTTTTTCAAAATTAGGCCAGTATATAGAGTGTCAATTAGAGCATGCACATGTATTTTGTTACACAGAGAAGGTTTCGGCTGCTGTTCAGATTGTGTAGTTTGAAGGGGAAATTGGTTAGATTCCCAGATTTGGAGGTGACTTGAGAAGATTGATGTCTGATTATAGATCATGCTGTGCAGAGGTGATGCTTTGATTAATAGGTTCATGTAGGAACCACAGCTGCAATAATGGCACTTAGAAGCAGGTTTCTAGAACTGGACTAGCCCTGCAGGGGTTCTCCCCCATCTTCCCTTGAGAGAGTTAAAATCTGGAAGGGAGGAATGAAAGCAACCTTTCATTACTGAACTGGCACTGGAAATTGGCATTAACTAAGTCCTGCTGTTGGAAAAGCCTGAAGAATTGGCTCAGTCCTTTGCTTTCAGTTGGTGATACTGAGGTCACAGGTGCACAGAAGTCAAATCTAAAGGGAAGAGGTGGAGATAAAACAGTAAATGTGATTTCAGCAAATTGGAGTATGGTGACAGTAGGATGGCTAGGGAGTGCCTGGCAGCATTGCCCTTCATTCATTCTTCATCCTTTGAAACTTTTATTCAGAGCTTTGTTTGGAATGTGGAGAGAATTTTAGCAGTAAATTTGGTCTTGTAATGCAAACTGAGCTTTGGCTGTTTCTCAGACTGTAAGAGCTAAATCCTACCTCATGTTCTTATGCCTAAGTGATACTTATTTCCCCATGTTTCTGCAATTTTTGGCACATACACACAGTTTGGATTTAATGTACCAATGTCCACCTGGTGCTTCCCTACTGATCATGTTCAGTAGTCTGCAGTATGGCTGCATAAGTGCCCAGATGGGGGGTGGAGGGGAAGGGCAATACCATTGGCTAGCCGTGCATATAAGACCATATAAGATGCAAAACTTTAGTCACAGAAAAAACACAACTCGAGGGTGTTTGACTAGAGAAAGAGGGGGGCCCTCTCATCTTTCTGCCCAATAAATGAGTGGCTAGAGTATTTGCCCACAAAATGTGGGACTGAGTTATATGCCCCCCTGACCTGAGGTGGCATTTAACTTGTATCCCCTGTTTCCCAGCCAAGTGCTCTAACCACCAAGCCATAAGCATTAACAAGAGTAGTCTCCAGCCTTCTTGAAGCTAGCTTATTGCACCCTACATTTAATGTTGTTTGGATAAAATGAGAAAACCAGGATAGTTTCTGTCCCACTGGGGATAGGGGCCTGGACTCCTTCCTTCTAGGACAACTGCTGCCTAACAAAGCCCATGTACCCTCTAGCTTGTTCTTCTCCTGGCCCCACATATCTTTCCCTGACTTGGTTGCCAAGAGAGCCAGCTTCAAGAGGAGGGCTGGAGAGTGGTCTTGCAAGTGCTTACTTCATGGCCTGGTTGATGCAATACTTTGCTAGGGAAATGCAAGATACAGGTTCAAATGTCACTGGATGAGGAAGGCCTAAAACCTGAATCTCCTGGTCACTGGATAAGTCCCCTATCCATTAGGCAATCAGGCCAAAAGGTGGGAGATCCTACCAGCTTTGTTTTACTTCTAGTAGGTACATGTGCAGATTGATCTATTCTGTCATGGTGAAAATAGAATGCAAACTATGTACAGATGTCAAAATTTGCCACTGTGCAGTCACGTAAGTGACACTTTCTCTCAATAAATGAAACAGGGTTTAGCCCAAAGTATTACATTTTCTAAAGAGTCTTTGTACTTGTAGATCCTGCATTGTCAGACTGGGGTGCTAGAGGTGTTTTGTATGAAAGCCGGAAGAAGGTGAGGGAAATATGGAATAAAAAATAGGGGGAAAGAGCATATGCAGTTCAAAGGAAAAGAAGGTTTTTATTACTGTTCTTCTCAGAGCCATCTTGCAGTCATATCTGACTGTTCTAGGGTGGCCTTCATAGAAGACATTTTGGTTTTCTGGTACTCTGTCCTCTATTGATATGAAACCGGATGCCTTTATGTCCTCTATTTTTCTCTTTAAGAGGACATAAAGGCATCCAGTTTCGTATCAATAGAAGACAGAGGTGTCCTCTATGATTGCCACCCTATACTGTTCTCAGTAACATGGTTTCCAGAGCTTCAGTCCCTTTTAATTGAGTTTCTTTTTGGACTGAAAATAGAGTAAATTTACAGTACAAACAATAGTGGCGAATACAAAATAAACCCTTTGGGAATCTGCTCTTTGTTAAAATTTAAGATGCTATCTTTGGATATTCAGCCCAGGGATGCTAAAGTTCAACTGCAGGGCAAAAACCAAAAACCATAAAACTGAAATTAGCCTAGAAATTAAATCCTCTGAATTACTGATCATTCATGTTGACCCCAAAAGCCAGCTCTGCCTACATGAATTTTCTTCTTCTGACTTCCAAAATTAGGAGCCAAGAAAGAACAGTAATTAGCATCCTCTGTGACACTTAGTTTTGATGTTATTTAAACAATGCATGTTTTTGTAGTTCAAAATTAAAGTGAGAAGAAAATATCCAGCTAAGTAGGCCTAAAGCAGAGTACAGCATAAGGAAGACTCCTGGGTTTTTCCTGGGGATGATTAAAGGGACTGTCTTGCTGCTTTGATGGATTGGATGGCTTAGTTAATTCATTATTTGTATATGCTTATTTTCACTGCTGGGTGGTCATCATTTGTGATTGTGAATTTAATTACTGGACAAGGGGCCCAGAGTTTTCCCTGTGGGTATTCTTACCATTTAAATAAATAGATGAAAATATATAGCAGAGTTTAACCCTGCAGATAACCTTTCATGTTGATATTTTTAATAACATGGCCTTAGAGTCAGGGTAAAGCTCATTCACTGGAACACTTCTGTTAGGGAATTTTATCTCTGAAGTTTATCACTTACATGAAAAAGTTCTTATCAAAATAAATGTCGTGGTGTTTGTTATGTTTAGCTAAATTAGAAATACTCTTGGACATTTGATGGTGTCACATGAGGCAATGGCAGGGACTGCTGTTGTGACCGGACAACTGCTGTATGTACATCAGTTGGCATTCCTACACCACGGTATCTAGCATTATAAAATGATAGGCCAAGACTTTCAATACAGTGGAAGATGAGGTTGTCCAATTAGCACTTCTGAAAATAGGGTTATTTATTGCAGTGATTCTCAACCTTTTTTGTACCAGGACCCATTTGTAAACATCAATGGCCAGTCCTGACCCAATGCCCCTCACTCATGACCCACTGCCCCCAGGCTCTAGTCCCCCAGTGTGTGGGGCAGGGGGTAGGTATGTGGGGGCATGGGGGGCCCCAAGCAGCCCCTTGCAGGCTGGAACTCTGCCAGCCTGCTAGGGAAAAGCCACGGTTTCCTATGTTTTTCTCCTTTAAAGGAGACTCCATTTTTTAAGTTTGTTGATGCATCCTTTCATATGTTTTTGTGACCCACTTTTGGGTCGTGACCCACAGGTTGAGAAACACTGATTTACTGCATACCTCCCAGCCTCATACCTGCTTTTTAAAAGTCCAAGGTATAGTGAGCCTGATGCTCCCTGATGTCAGGCTCGTGACCCTTCTCCCCCTGCCCCCGGGGTGATTCTGGGGATCAGCGGGGCTGCTGGGTCAAGAACCTGGTGCTGCCCTCAGCACAGTCCCACTTTTTGGGGACAGGACATCTGTGTTCTGGACCCTGGGGCTGCCCACACCAGATCCCTACTCTCAGCTGAGCATTGGGATCTGTCATGGGTCAACCCCAACATGCCACACATTCATTTTAAGGCATGAAACAAATGAGCCACAAAGATGTTACTCATTATATGTAGAATATCTTTGTTGAATATTTGCTATATTATCACACCATAAGTTGGCTTTATCATGTGGCCAGATTAATGACATGATTATCACTTTAATTGTGTGCTTAATGTAATGTGTGCCAGGGCCCTCAGTTACTACAAGGAAAGATCTTTTTTTTCTTCATTCTGTCTTTCAATAACAAGGTGCATATCTTATTTTAGGATGCACTCTATTTGAGAAAATACGGTACGGCTATCTTCAAATGTCTTTATGTAGTGACAACAACACTAAACTCCACATTTGTATACAGTTTGCCAGGTCATTGCCCAACTGTGTTGTCTACTCTGGTAGATGTTCTAGCAGCAAAGCTGAACTACTAGGGCAGGCCATGATTCTTGGCCAGGGATTCCTTGAGAGGATGCTACAGGGTGCCATGCAATGTTAGGATTTTTTGGTGTGCAAACATGATTCACAAAATAAACCCAAAGGGTGTTGTCTTGAGCCTAACAAGTGGTTCTTAAAGTCTAAAAAGATTGAGAACCACTGTGCTCTAGGGCATTGCTGGGAGCTCTAGCTGTAATCACACTTGCAGGGCCTGTTCCCTTTGCATGTCAGTGGTTTGCTTTGGCTCTTGTCCTTTTCGTAAGTGAGTTCTGTCCATCTTTTCTGTGATGTATAAAAGAGCCATGAAGAATTTGCTGTAAAGTGTTTTTACATTATAATTTATGCTACTGTGAAAGGGAAAAAGAGTGTAGAGAGCAGCAGTTGCCACACATTTTACAGTCATGGCCCCACTTACAGACAGATAATTCTGTGCTACCCTATATCCAGTTGCTGCTCTTCACGTGCCTGAAATTAAAGCAGGCACTTTACTATGACTCAGCAGCCCAGGAAATAACCTTGTGATGAGATATTGTGATGAGATTTCATGTAAATGCAATAGTGCAGCTAACACCTGAAAGAAAAAGGGGCAAAATGCCCCTGTTGGCTGCTTCCACATGAGTGCAGACATTTGTTTTCTTGGGATCAATAAGCAGTGGCACACTTTGTGCTGCTGCTTGTCTTCAGGGAATGCCTGGGTCACGTGCCCTCTGGTGCACGGCAGGTTACCGTGGGTGGGGTAGAGGAGGATGAGGCCAGCAACTGTGCTGGCCTCAGCAGCCTTACCTGGGGGCCAGGGAACCTGCAGCTATAGTGCTCCTGCAGCAACTGCAGCATGGCTCCGGCGAGCCAGGCTCTGGTTTTGAGCAGCATGCGCTACCACCGTGTCACCGCCTCACCTTTTTTCTGCGCAGGTTTTTTGACTCTGGGATCTTCTAGGGTCAACCCTGACCCCCCCACCCCCTCACACTGCAAGGTAGCAGCATGGGGAACGCATGAATGTACACTCTTTGGTGCCACGGACAGGTCTGCAATGCCACATATTGCACAGCCACATTCATCTGACTGCAGCTGTTAAGGTACCACTTACCACAGGCTTAGCACAGACACTCAAGCAGTTACCATGGAGTTTGAGGCATGGCAAAGCACTACCCCTTCTTAACTGAGGGCAAACAGAATAATTGCAGCTTTGAGGAAAGTGGAGGCTTCCTGCAGTTCACAAGCCCACTCGTAGGCACCACAACCCCCCAGTGTTATGGGAAATGCTGAGTAAAAAGCTGTTTTTCCCACTTCTCCATTTGCTTAGCTCACGTGTTTTATGGACAATGGTTGCACCTGCATGGAAAACTCTTTGAACTGGCTATGCAGAGTGGTGTATCTATTTTCCCTTTGGCATGAATCCTCATCTTGTACCACCACCTAGCTTCAGATCCTGCTAGTCTCTGTTTCTTTTGTCCCATGACAGTTGATAGTGCAGATTCCTAAGTAGGCTTTGCTGCTGTAGCATCCTGTTTATTCAAGTCAAGTCAGTCCTGAGGCCACTGAGGCTGTTGGGGCACCTCAGCTGCATCATTCGTGAGTCTTCAGGCAAAGTGACCTGGTGGTGCCCATCTCCTCTCCAGGTATGGATGACCAGTGGTTCACAGGGACCTCATCCACCCTTTGACAGGTCTTATTTTTAGTCCTGCTAGATGTCCACATACCCTCCTCATCCAGGCTAGCCCAGGTGGTGGCACTGGTTTAGTCACTGACAAATCAACCATGGAGCAGGCTGTACTGGTTTACATGGTACCAGATAGCAGACTAAGAGAGGTCTGGCCAGACAGCCATGTTGTTTATTTTATTTTGATAAATCCACTGTTACCTTTGGAGAGGTGCTGGAGAGGTGCACGGAGAGGTGCTGCAATTGTTGGGGTTGTTTACTGGGATTCCTGTGCAAAGGAACTTCATCCAATAGGAATTCATAGAAAAGGATGACAGGGTTTTTTCTTCCTTCACGTAAATGTGTGGATGCAAGGGTCAGTAAACATGACTAAGAAATATTGAACCTATTGCTGTAATGAGAGAGATGTCTTGGTTCCAAACCTTGTCAGCCATTCACAATTTTTATTCTGTCACAGCTGCTTAGCTTTGGTCATACTGGTGCTTTGTGCATGTGTTTTTTAATTTGCCTGTCTCCCCACTGAAATTTCTCTCCCTGCAATTTCATCTTAAAACTATTGCTTATATGTGCTCTCCAAATGGGAAAACTGTCCATGCCCTCCTTTACAAAGTGCTTTTTGGACTCTGGGTTGTAACCCTTTCCTAAGAGAGCTATAATTAATTATTATATGTAGCTTATTACATAGAACAAGTACATTAATCCTATATCAGAAAGGAGATGATTCATCTGTGCTGTAGAATATTGGTGTTCCAGTGTCTTACAGTTTGTTATAAATTGTAGTACATGTTGCTTGCATAAATTCTCTCTTTGTAACTATCAACAGTGACAGCAAAAGCACAATGAAGACAGGAAAGGATCAAAATTTACTCGCAAATTTGTATAAAATCTAGTTGATGAAGATGGTAGCAACTCCATCACCCTCTTACACATTGTTCTTCCTCTTTCCCAGTCCCCTGGAACTTAGAGACAATCTTGAATTCACTGTAAAAAGCCAAAACATTAAGATGAATTTGGACAAAGGAAATGAGTGAATTTCAATAAAGGGGGCTAACCAAGGTGCAGCCAAACTAAAACAATACCCTCCTAACAACAGACATATCCTTCCCTACACACCCTGACTGCTTAGCTGAATAGATGGACCTTACAGCAGGAATCAAAGATCAACAAATTCTGTCAATTCTGGGCCCCAGGGTTGAAGGTTAGGGTTAAGGGAGCAGAGACCCCCTCCTGGAGAATGTCTGCAGCATTTCTGTACTGAAGAAGATTTAGGCTTATTGTCTTATACATGATCTTTTAGAATATGCTTTATTACCGTTTTTGCCTGGTTTAATTATAATTGAATGCTAGCCCTCAGGACAGTGAGCAATGCAATAGTTTCTGTCTGTCTGTCAGCTCTTCCTGTCAATAGGAGCCTTGCTTGCTCGTACAAAACACTTTCATTCCTGTGCTTCCCAACCTGCCCTGGTGCCTCGCTGGAATGTAACGTCTCCACCAGTTGATGTCCCTCAGTGCCTTGCTGGCCAATTCCTTTCCTGAATACTGGACAAAACTCGTGATGTTTGTATGTTGAGTTCTGTACTAGCAGCAGGAATATTAGACATGTTTGAAATGTAGATGGGCCATAGGGAAAACAGAAGTGGGGCAAACAGGAATTCTCTGTCACCTCCTAGAGCCTTAACTTGAGCAGACATGGCTCCCAGCATCTAGAAAACTTGTCCAAAGTCCACTACTTCCCTCCATATCCTAAAACTCATCTAGACAGTTAAAGAAATTACCAGCTATTTTTAGGGGTCAGTGCACATAGACTTTAATATCCTTTATATACAATATGTTAATGGAATGCCACATGCACATGGAGGCATTATATTAGGGACATTTTGGGAGCTCTGGACATCTTTAGAGAGATCGGTCAGATTGTGATGATTCAGCACTAAAGAGATCAGAAGTTAGTTACAATTCCCTCCTCCTTCTCTGAAGGTGCCATCTCTCTTTGCATACATTTTGCTGCCTTTGAGAGCATTTTTAATATCTGTTAATTCTAGTGCTTAACAGTTTGGATCTGTCTATGATTTGGGGAATTATGTATGGCTCTTGGAGGAAAAAAAATGAAAATGGCCATGTTGAGAACATTACTAAAGTAATAAAGGGGTGAGTGAGGGGCAGGATTCCAGCTTCCAGGGGTCTGTGTGATGGGGTTGGGAAGATTTTACCTCTTCCAAAAACAACATGCTGTTAGGGAATAGAAAAGAGTGAAAATTGGGATCACATTTTCCTATCCACAGCCAAAATGAGTGGCAGAATGGAGCATCCAAACAACACCTACTATATAAGGGAATGTTTTGGAGCCCCTTTGCATTGGTTCTGGCCAACTTATTTTATAATCCTTTTTGAGGAGAAGAAAGAAACTGGGCTCAGCTTCAATTTGTATGCATAATGGGGTGAGTTAAGGACAGTTTGCCTTGTCTGTGTGGATATAAGCCAGATCTGTTGTGTTCTTTTTCACCAAGGTTTCTGCAATGGGCCTTTTTTTCCTCCCACCAAATAACTGTCCCTTGCTACTCTTCAATGTCATTTCTGGCACAGAGACACTGGGGTGACTGGTGTTCTATAAATCCTGTAGATACATTGCATAGGAATCTGTGCATCTACACCAAAGGCAGCTTTTAAAGCCCCCATGAAATCTGTCTGCAGACCTCAAGTCCAGGAAGCACAATGTTTCCATATTTATTTCTTAAATGTCTGAGGTACAAAACCATCTAGCTTTTCTTGTTTGCAATGAGAAACTCCCTTTCTGCCTCCCCTGTCCCTCACCATGAGATTTTGGTGAAAACAAGGCTGCAATGCGCACTGTAAGAGCTACATTCAAAAATCTTGGTCTTGTTCAGAGACTGCCCTCAAGAATCAAAGGCCTGTTCAAATGTCTGTGGACAGTGGATCAACAGCAATTCTGTCATCCTAACAGAACTTTTGAAGACATGTGTTGCCACATCTGCAGATATTGAAGAAAAGTTAACATCATTCTGGAGTTGAAACAATAAAATTGATCCGCTTCAAGAACAGGAGCTTGTCCCCCCACAAGTGCAAGTAGTCTGCTGAAATGGAAAGGCTGCTGCAAAACCTAATTATAAATGAACGCTCCAGATTTCACACAATATGGAAGTTCAGTGAAAACTTGTTGTATGACAGGGATAAAATCCTCTAAGACAACTGAAATAAAGAAGGTCTTTTTACATCAAAAAAACTCAAATATTGAAGTATAATAATAGTGAAAAATTGTGTAGCTCAATTCACTCATTCAGTACATTAATAATAATGAACATCTGCTCTGTAAGTGCAGTCAGGATATTTGAACCTAAATACTTAAACTGTATCATTTAATTTTCCTGCCAACCTTGTGTTTCAAGCTTGGATATGTTTCCTACTCCCTTTTACACATAGCCTCCTGGGCGTCTAGCATCTGACAGTGTGTTGATGATTAGAACCTTGATCTGTACTAGCTGCTGCTCTTTTGTCATGCTGCTCACTCTCAAACAGCTTCCCTCTTGCTCAACCATTTACTTTATGGCCTAAGAATACAGTCCTGCACTGCTTTCACAGGTACACATTTTAACCTCAGTTAGTTCTAGCCTATTCCCCCTCTTCCAGACCAAGGCCATCATAATTTGAAATCTCTCTGAACAATGTCTTCATTTTTACAGACTTCAAATTTTCCTAATATGACTGCGTGCTGCCATATCTCGAGATCCAAATGTTCCTTTTTGACTGAATTATAATGGCTTTAATTGTCCAAGAATAAGACAACAAAAAATAACAAAAAAAAGAATCAAGCTAATATAACAGGTAGTTTCTTATTTACAAGCAGTAGCTAAATGCCTTCATTCTTGTATCAGGTCAAGATTTGCCAGAGTGTCTGGTTATTACTTTGAGGAGACACATTTTTGGATGCCTGATTTAAGACCTGCTGGGTACCTGTTTTCTGAGGGTTTAAAGCTTTCTAAAATTTGGGGCCCTTTTAGATGTCTCAAAGTGAGCACTGTCAAATTGGAGCTAATATTTAAAATATTACCTTCAGTCTTGACTCCAGTGCACTGAGTAAAGATCTCTATGCTAACATGCAAACATTAATGACCATATATTAATATCCTCATAACCTCTTTCTTACACCCACAGTACTATATTCTCATTTCTCTTATTGAGACGTTTTTCCTACAGACCCTGTCTCTTTGTTAACTTAGTATATCTAGCGTATTTGGCTTCATATATTCCTTTGCCTCATGTTAGTTCTTGGTTTGTAGTTCACTATTTCTCACAACTCATGTATTTGTAAAGGCAATGAGCGTCAATGTGTGTTTCGGTTTTTGAGTAGTTTCCACCCTCAATTTGCTACTGTTTACCCAATGACTTTAATAACTTTTATTGTTCAGCAGCCTCTCTTTCAGTTTCTGTTAGCCTCCAAAAGTTATTTCATTTCTGTGTTTACAGGTAGAAAATTAAAAGCTGGCTCCCCCCGCTCAATGCCTAGGCAGTATTTATGTTGGCAAATCTAATATCAGAAATATGGTGTTTGACATCAGCCACTTTGAAAATCAGCCCACTTGCTAAAGTATGGTTTTATAAACCTACCTTTAGCCATTCAGATCTGAAAAATGTTGCCCAGGAGACTTATTTTTCTTGATATCTTGTCCCTGGGCATTGTATCAGTGCACAGCACCCATGAGGAGATGAAATTCTACTCAGCATTGAGATGGGCATTACACAATTCCATAGCCAGATCTAAGGAGTGAATTCCCTACTGAAAGTAAATGATATAAGCAGAGAGAGAATTTTTAATGGCTCAGAGGCAGAATCAAACATGGGTGCATTAAAGACAATGAAACAAGATGAAGGAAAACCTAAAAGAGGCGATGTAGGTCATAGAAAAGAAGCTAGATCTGACTGCTCTAGTGTAGAGATAATTGCCTTTGCAGCAGTGGACAGGAAACAGAAGTATGCTTTCTTTTATTAATTCTTTTCTTAAGGGAAAATGTTCAGTTGAGGATTCTGTCCCATTCTTTGAAATAGAAAGAGCACATGAGACTTGATAGTCCAAATTCACTCCAGAACAAAGGCCAAGAGCAGCAATTATTAAATTCTTCAGATTCCAAGGCAAAGAAAATGTATTCGATTACATACAAAAGCTATAAGATAATGTTAGCAAGGGAAATGTATTCAATTACATACAAAAGCTATAAGATAATGTTCACTGATCTGAACAATGGAATTTAATGTTGAGGCATGCAGTATGGTGCCCTGTGAAATGCCAGACCTAGGTTTTGAATAGTCCTGAGGAATGGGCATCTTCCTCGGTACTATTATGGACATTGGCACTGAGAAGACAGAGTCTAGGAATAGACATGTACCTATGAAAGAGAAATGCAGAGGAACTGAGTTAGAATCTGCATATTAATGATTGGCAATAAATTTTGGTAAGATAAGGCCCTTTGTGGGGACCTAGGGAAAGAGAGAGGCTAGAATGTTATCAGGTTGTTTTCTATTTGAGTACTAACCGTGTAAGAGGATGGCACATAAAAATATTTGCTCTTGATTGCATAGTTTCATAGTTTCTAGGGTTGGAAGGGACCTGAGTAGATCATCTAGTCCGACCCCCTGCCACGGCAGGACTACTGAGTCTTTCATAATTCTTCCTGCCTGGAGCCCCATAGACAACAATAAGAAAAGCTTGAGGTTTGTCTACAAAAGGCTCCCAGTCTCCTCTTTTCCTTAGTTGTCAAGCTAATTTTCTTTTCTTTTTCTTCTCATCTCCCAGATGCTGCAGAGCCATCTGTTCAGCAAAGAAATTGAAATTTTATTGAGTCTTGATGTGAGGTAGATGTATTTGGCATGAGTTCTGATGTTAGAGAGCCCAGAGTCCAAGGTTCTTTTTTTTGTAACACTCTTACACTGAATAGTTAGGAATACAACTTCTTCACTCTGGTGTCCCTCTCTATATAATTTTTTAGCAGTGCTTCTTATAGCAAAATGATTCAACTGAAAGCAAATGAAATGATGAAATCTGAAGATCTTGCTGAGATCACTGTATCACTGTTTGCCAAAAACAGTTGGCAACAATTTCCTATCAGATTCCAACCTCTTCAGCTAAAAAGGCCAAAAGATGATTGGTCCTGCAGTGTGGCTTGAAGGTCACCAGTCCCTGGCTATTTCAGATCAAGGGCAGAAGATTGCTCCATAGTGGAGAACTCCTTATAGAAAATGCTCTTCTACTGTCTCCTTCTTGGTCAAATCAGGGGGGGCGGGGGGGGGTTGTCTACAGCTGGCAAAGAGGAAGAGATGATTTTTGATGCATTTAGGCCTTTACAGATCCTTAAACCTGATCTGGAAACCAGGAGACATTAAACGCAGACCTTGCAGCACTGGTATTGCATGCTATCTATAAGAGTTACTGTGTACTGCTCAGGCTTCTGCAGCCTAAACCTGCTTTCATTTCCATATGTTTTGAATTATTTCATAGTTTCATAGTTAGTGTGGTTGGAAGGGACCTGAGCAGATCATCAAGTCCAACCCCCTGCCATGGCAGGAAAGAGTACTGAGGTCAAACAACCCCAGCAAGGTGATTGTCTAGCCTCCTCTTAAAGACCCCCAGGGTAGGAGCCAGCACCACTTCACTTGGAAGTTGGTTCCAGATCCTAGC